AGTTCCCTTAACAAGGCTAATAGACTAGCGATATTAAACACAAACTTCAAAATTGCTATTCCATTGAAAAGACTGTATCACATCTAGTGAACGATACCAACTTGGATAAAAAGAATATTGATTTTCTCTCTCTCTCTGTCTCTCCTACTCATCTAACAGGGCTATGCAACTCCTTCCACCTTTCCATACCCGTTCATTCCCCGATCCACATCCACATCCACATCCATATCCATCCCAAAGAAAAACACACCAAGACAATTTCCGAACGCCGCCAAGACTCAAATACACTTCCATGCATCATATTCATGAGTCTCCATGTATGTACTATCAATGCCTGCCTACCTGGCATACTTGTACGTATAGCGATGCTAAACATCCTCCACCTCCTACGGTTCAACCCCATCTTACAAAATACAAGTTGGTTTTCCATACCATTTCTCATCATGTCCTCACAATACCTAGGCAGAAACCCATAAACCAAGATGAAATGAAACCCATTGAAACTCCTTGCCCATTGATGCCGAACCATTCTCGTATGACCAAAAATCATGCTCTATCCTATGATCTTTCCTTTTCCTAAGCCGTAGGACGTTTAAACGGATGCGCTTCAGTATTCAAAACCCACTCATCCAGACTGATAGTCTCCGGAGTCGAAAAGAGAAGATAGAAATATTTGAGCGTCTCCGCCAGCCAGAAACTTTCCATCTCATCTATCCGATATGCTTCTTCAGCAGTAACATCGTAGATGGCCGAATTGCCAAACTCCGTAGATGTTGCATTGATGACAGCTTCGTACATTTTCCACCCTTTCTCTTGCCACGATTTGTCGCCAGTGATACGGTACATATACCAGACAGATTCAATGGCTTCCGGTCTGAACACTTATGTTAATATTTTATTGTTACAACAGCATGGAGGTGAGAGACTTACCTGAGAATGTACTTCCTGGTAAATATACTTGTAAATCCAGGTGGTAGTGATTCTTGCTTGATACGACTTTCGACGTATTCCTTGTGAGAAAGTGGGCGTAATGGATCTGGTAATGATTCGCTACCAAGTGGTTTTTGACCCTTTTCCAGTTGACGTCCTCCAGCCATACTTTCCAGTTCCGCCTTTGTTTTTGCCGACTTCTGCTCAAACATGGTTTGTTTTTCGGGACCATCCATAGTATCCGCATGACTTTGACGTTTTGTGAGTGATGCAGGTTCATCTTTCGGCTTGAAGGCACCTGCGTCATTGGATTTAATTTCCAAGGAGTCTTTCTTCAAGGAGTCAGTCTCCCTATGACCGGTATACCCTTGAGGACCCCCAACAGTCTTCGCTTTCGCCAAGGCATTCTGCTCACGGTCCGCATCCATGGGACTCATATTCATATCTTTCGCTTCGGCATCGAGCTTCTCCTTATTCTCAATATATTCCTTAAGATTGGCATCTCTGTAGTGAGCTGAAGGATCTAAGCGCTCATAGTAAAGAGTTTGGTTCCAGGAGCAATGCTCAACACTTTCGCATGCAATCACTTCTGACCCTTCAGGCATAATTCCTAATGGCGTTGCGCCATAAGCCCAGACGCAACCATCTGTAAGTTTCTTGGCAATCTCGAGGTCGCCTTCGATGCCGAAAATCTTTGCGCTCATTCCAACCATACCTCCAATGAAACATGTTAAATGTGTAACTTCTGGAATCAATAAATTCTCCTCCATATCGCCAGTACTCGTAACCTTTCCGGAAATAAGAATGTCATCATCTCCCGGAACCATAGGGCGAAAGAGCATATAGTCACGTATGGCAGGGATGGTCTTCATGTACATCTTTCGATAGACTTCTTCAAGACCACCCAGGAGCATGTATTGCTGTATATTTATTAGTTATGTAAAATATGTCCATGAAGTTCATACATACTTTTGGATAATACTCATATGTCGAGTCCTGTCCACCACCCATTGAGAACTTTTGCCTGCCACCCTGGGTATACGCCTCGAGACCTTGCTTAACGCAATCCCAGTCACCCGCTCCTCCGGTTCCTGGCAAATCTGGCAATTCTGGTGCGAACGAATGACCAAGACCATTGCCATTTCTATAAACTGGAGGATGATTTGGAGGATGATTTGCTGCTGGTGGAGGAGTCGTAGATACCGTGGTTGAGGCCGACAAGGCCGATTCTCCTAGATCTCTTTTCTTCGCGTTTCCGTCTCCCCATCCCTTAATATGGGCCTTTCCAGGCTCACCCGGTAAGACTTGCATTTCCAACATTTTATCTCCAGGACGAGGCTTTTTCCTAGATTTAGACCCCTTTATCTCAGTCTCAGGCGAAGGAGGCTTGTATCCTTCAGGAGCCTCGTCCAATAGTGCTGCTGTCTCTGGATCGCTGAGAGCGGTCTCCTTTGCTAATGCAGCTTCTTTCTTCTCGTTTTGTTTGATAAGAGTGGCTGTACGGTTGCAGCCGGATGCATCGACCTCTTCTGTGAAAACACCAGGGATGTAGGTTGAATTACGATCTTGCCATTCAGATAAGGCATTAGTGACTCGAGCTACAGCATCATAGTAACGTTGTTCCCCAGTTAATTGTGCAAGACGAGTAAATTCCATAGACAATGAGCCAAGCTCGGCCAGATTAGATCTGGAACTTGCACGATGAGGTTGGGATGCAAAAACTGGTTTCCATCGGTAGTGGAGTACCGGCATCCTGTTTGGTGTATCAAAAGCACCCATCAAAATCTCCGCCAATTCAGTAGCTTTGTCCAAGAGAACCTGAAACTTCCCATCGCTAACATCGAAGGCGGCCAAAAGACCACCTAGATATCTGATTGTGGTTTCAAATACTGGTATTTCCATTCTTGGGGTGGTGGTGAAATCGATCTTCTCGACGGCTTTAACAGCCTCCTCGAATTCTTCATAGAGACCCATAATCCATAAAGTATCCAAACCATCCACCAGGGTTGCTGCCCATCCACAAAATGGATCTCGAAATTTAGTCGATACCGGGGAAAGTTCGTCATGTCCCCATGCAAACTTCTTGTATCCCTTCCATGATTTCAAGAACTCCTCCTTCACTTTGTTCTGCCTCTTTTCTCGTGTTATTTTCGCGTCCGTTGTCTCGTCCTTGAAAACATATTGAATCTTAGGGATTGAAATTGGCACACCAGTTGGCAGTTTAATTATACTCTCCGTAGGTACGGGGAAATGTTCTGGTTGCTTGGACCAATGAATTGTGGTGGGAGCTGGTGAGAAAACAGGTAAATCCTGTCTTCCATCTGGCGCGACAGGGTGAAGGTCTTCAAATTCCTCGTCCTCGTAGACTCCCTTAGTCGGTGGCTTCCTGTTTGGAAGAACATACTTCGGCAGAGTTGTATCTACCGTTTGAGCCGCAATAACGTTCGACGTGGTTAATGTACTGCTGGTTGTAGTGGATTTAGTGTCTTCCTTCGCAGGCTTCAATGGCTCTTTTGGTTGCTCCTTTAGAGTTTCTGGTGCAATTGGATGTCCTCCATTTGGTGTGAATTTGTCCGCCGCAGATTTGGAATCAGGGATATCAACAGGGCTTTGTAAGGTGTAACTCTCCCAATCCCGTATATGTGTAAATCGAACCAGAATCGCTGTTATGAAGACAGCAAGAATAAGAAGTGCTCGGTATCTGCGAATCCGCAACATTGTGCGAATTGCTGTGTCGTGGTCTCTCGACCAGCACTTTTGAGCAATTGGAAAAAGAGTGGTTGTACTTGGGGGAGGTTGTGTCGTGTGTTTAGCAGCAAGGAATAAATGTTGATAGGTTCTGAACCAATAGTAGCCTCATCCCCAATTAAAGTTATCAATACAGGTAAGGGTTTACACTACCCATACGGATTTCTTAAAGAATGTTGGTGACAAAGTACTTTTCGCAGAATTTGCAAATGGGAAAAGTCTCTTCGATTCGAGTTCTATTTTGACTTTGCGTGAATGTACGAATTCTACTTGTACCTGTACTCTTTGGTCTTTGCTCCCTCAGATCGCTTGTAGCACTTCATAGCTCTTGGCGTATGTATGGTTCTTTTAAAGTTCTATGGGTTCATAAAGATCAAGTGGAGGACATGGATGATACGAATTGCTTTTGATAAGGTTAGCTAATAACTTGAACTGTCACAAATTGGGAAAAAGGGACATCTTGGTATTATAATTTGTGGGGATTTGGGTGTATCAGCTGCAATTTTAGGGGGGCCGCCGTGATTCCTATGAAGCTCTGAACGTTTTCCTGTGAAGGGAGTGGATGGATAATGAAGCTATTATTAACCTTCCCGACGGTCGCCCGAAAATGAATTTAAATATAAATCCCACGGACGGATAGAAGAATGAGAGTAAAGATGTAAGGTGTCGAGTGACATGCACCTCCACTCATCCACTCCTCCCTTCCGTTTAACCCGAATACGTCTATACGAGGGGTATCAAACTCACTGCCGAATAAACAGAGTCTAAACATCGGATTAGTCTCCAGTATGCACCCCTTTAATATCTTTATTAAGTGGTTCCTATAGCCCACTACTAGGTAACTCCGACATCCAATGATTACAAATCTTTCTATTTAGCTGGTTTACCCCAAAAAGAACGACTTTTTTTTTATACATCTTATTAAGGTTAAAGATATTACCGGTAAGTTTAGTCTACCCTAACCTCACGAGTAGGTACTGTACCATTACCCCATCTTCCCAACATATCCCCAACACCAGCAACATGGGTTATATCTATCTAATCGGCTAAATAATGTTGACCCAGCCGTATGCAAACATGGATATTGATCATCTTGGAAGGTGGGAAGGTCGGCAGACGGCCACCTATGCCGCAACCCCAACTCTTGGCACGGTTCAAATGAGTCCTTCACAACCGAGCAGGCAAAATTGTGATGAATTCGAAAATCTGTTAAATTGAGAGATCTGACGGGTCCGGATAGGGTCCGTACGGAACTTTGTAACCCTGGAAAGTAAATTAGAATAACCCTAAACTAGTTCTAGATTGTATATATATACAGGAAAATGGTTTTATATTAGATGTTAGATATTTGAATTCAATTAGAATTTTATTATAAAAATTCATTTTATTTTATAAAAAAAAATAAAACAATTTAAATTACCAACTTCATAATCACTTTTTCAATTTTTCAAATCCCATTACAAAAATAATACAGAGTTCATATACATTATTTTCATCAAAGTCATTCAATCCTTCACTATCTGAATATAAAGACTGGTGGAATCCGAAGGTGTAAGACATGTTACATAAGCTCTCTAGATATGGCAGTGTTGTACAGAGTTACATCCTAAAAGGATGAGAGGCACGCCTATGAAAATATCATGTATGTATTTTGCCCACCTTCCTAATAAAGTCGTTACAAATAATCATTATGCTTCTTTATTCATGACTTTATCCATCCATATCACCCGGTCCTTTTTGTCTACCCATTTGACGTGCCTTGAGCAATTCATCACAGAGTAAAAGATTGGAAGCAATACCGGAACTCGATGCAACACAATTCCTTAGTACACGGAAAGAATCATATACACCCTCTAAGACTGGATCCATAGGTTCACCAGTCTTAAGATCAAGGCCAACAATATTGCCTTCTACTTGCTCATCCTGTAACCTAGCAACTGTGATACGTATTAGCAGGATGAATATTAGGATCGGGTGGGAAGGTGGCCTTACGCGAATCTTGAATATCATGACCGGCATTTGCTGCCAAAGTTTTGGGAATGACGAGGAGAGCATCAGCGAAAGCTTGGACACCCCACTTCGCCTTACCCTTAACAGTCTTGCGGAAAGATTCGCTGTTCAAATGTGCTGCGCAAGCAACCTGGAAAGCACCGCCTCCAGGTACAACACTCTTGTCTACAATCATGTTGTAAACACTTCGAAGTCCGTCGCGGACGGCATCAGTGATCTGAGTAATGGTGTGTTGATTTGGTCCCTTGATGAGAAGAGTTACGGATTTCGGCTCCTTTACATCCTCGACGAAGGTGTATTTCTCCTCTCCCAATTGATGCTCATAGACATTTCCGGCCCAACCAAGGATCTCAGGGGTTAAGTCATCCACACTGTTCTGTGCCGTACCACCACAAATTAATTGTAATCTTTCCATGTTTCTTCGCTTAGCTCTTCTCAGAGCAAAAATTCCATTCTTGACCAAAACATCAAGCGATAATGGATCGATGCCCTTCTGGTTGATGATCACGAATCCTTTCTTAGGATCGTTTCCACACACTTCCTTCTTCAACTCAACGATTTTTCGCAATTTTTCGTCAACAAAGCGGCGTTCGCTCTCCACGAGCTTATCTCTTTGTTCCGCACTCGAATAATAGAACCCAGAGTTAATTTCAGATTTCTCGTACTCCAAACTGACGTTCAAGCTGAGAATAAATGCGTTCTCGACCTTTTTTGGCATATCTGGATGTCTGGCACCATGATCTAAAGCAAGACCTCGAATCAACTGGGTTTCGGAGGCAGTTCTGTGTTGCATCTTCATAATTTCGACCATGTGGAGATCAGGTTTTGCTGGGGCTTGGTAGATGGCTAGAACGGCATCGACGATATCAGGTGTGAGCTTTTCTGCCAAAGTGTGATTGAGTTTTGTAGAAAGGGAGGTTCGTGCAACGCAAAGTAAAAGTTCACGGTCGACTTCTTTTTCGATTTTGAAGGTATCCAAGAACTACACAGTGTCAGCATTACCCCGCCTACTTTTGATATCCTACCCACCTTCAAAGCTTCCATCTTCGCGATTTCATAACCATCTGTGATAATTCGGGGATGTAAACCTTCTGAAATATATCTATCGGCCTGTTTCAAGAGCTCTCCTACGAGGAGAACAACTGAGGTTGTGCCATCACCACAAATATCATCTTGTGCGGTTGCTGCTCGTGCAATCATAACTGCTGTAGGATTTTGTATTTGCATTTCACGTAACAGAACATTTCCATCTTTTGTAAGTTTTATCTGCGGACCGATAATCAGAGAGATATTTTTTGCTGCAATAAGAAGGATTTCATACTCCACCAGCACCGTCGACCAACCTTTGGAAACGTTAGTATGTTTTTGGCTCGTAGGCGGGATTGAAACTAACATTTTGATGGTTCCCATGGGACCCAGGTTTGATTTTAAGACATCTTGTAAACCTTCACCTGCGCTGATATTGACTTTCAGAGCTTCCCCTCTTCTCTGCTTCGGATCAGTAGCTGCACCTCAAATTTGGACAAGGAAATCCATACTCTAGACTCCGCCTTTGGGTTCAAAAGTTGTGCGGCAGACATTCTGACCGAACACAGTAACTTCAGATGTAATTAAAATGAAGTTATAAAATGGTATGGTGACGAGATGCTGTGTACTTTGTCCCTAATGTCGCAAGCTTTTTTTTCTATGGGCGACGTGAATTACCACGCGAGGTTTAAACTAGTCTCGATTTGGTGCTAAGGCGAGGCTACGAATTTAAGATGTCAGGCGTTATGTACGTGGACCACGAACCTCCGCATGATAATTTCATAATTCATCAACCTATTTCGTGAAATATATTTAAAAATGTATCGAGGCTGGAACCTTGTGTTGACGATTATTGTCACTTTTCTCTCTGGAGAATGTCTTGGATTTTGGTCATGGCCATTTAAATTTCAAGCCGCTGTTGCAGAACAAGAGCCTATCATAGAATCAACGACATTCGAGTATGCTGATAGTCATGCAAAACGTATTGCAATCATTGGTATGTATCAATACTACTTTCTATTCTCTCATCATCAGTGATTCTCTTATGATATCCCTCGATAATCCTCTTTCAACGGGGGAAGTAGAACGCTGTTGGAATATCCGTCTCTCGGAATGCACCCAAACATTAGGCCTTTTCCTATACCCAAGATGCTAGCTATTCTATCTATTTTCTTCGACTTTCTTAATATTTTCATCACCGAATCCGGTCATACGTTGCTCATGAAAGCTTTTGACGATATATATCTCCATTTGACAGCAGAAGAGAAATTAAATCCCAACTCTTTGCTAACATAATATCAGGTGCTGGAGCTGGTGGATCTTCCTCGGCATATCATTTACAAAAGTATGCTGCTGAATCAGACCTTGCAATCAACGTTACTGTTTTCGAACGATCCTCATATATCGGGGGTCGTTCAACAACGGTGAATGCATATGGTAATTCATTGGAGCCAGTAGAATTAGGAGCTAGCATCTTCGTTGAGGTAAACGCAATTTTAAAAAATGCAAGCCGAGAGTTCGACTTGAGTCCAAAATCATCCACTACCGAGGAAGACGAAGTTCTTGCTATTTGGGATGGAGCAAAATTTGTTTATACTCAGAAGGATAGCGATTGGAAGTATTGGGATATTGCAAAGCTCTTGTGGAAATACGGACTTGCCCCCATCAAGACTCAAAGCTTGATGAAATCTATAGTTGGAAAGTTCTTGCAACTTTATGAGGCACCATATTTCCCATTTAGATCTCTCACGGAAAGAGTAGAGGAATTAGGACTAAAAACCGTTGCATCTGTAACGGGCGAACAGTTCCTAGCTGATAACGGCGTAAGTCTTTCTTTGCCCTCTCTCATCGTAATACTAATAACATGCAGATTGGAGGCACTTTCCCGACAGAGTTAATCCAAGCATCGACTCGGGTTAACTATGGCCAAAATCTAAACGTCATCCACGGCGTAGAGACCATGGTTTGTATGGCAATCGAAGGTGCAATGCAAATTCAAGGCGGTAACTGGCAGATCTTCGACAACATGATCAAATCTACAAATGCTACCGTTCGTCTAAACCATACCGTTACCGAAATCTCCCATGTCCAAGACCAAGATAAATACCATGTCAAGACAGTCACTACCGACGCTATTGGTGTCTCCCATACCAACGAAGAACCATTTGACACCATCATCATCGCGGCTCCTCTCCAATACACCAACATCAAAATGTCCTCTGACCTCCTTCAACACACCCCCGACGAGATTCCCTATGTAACTCTGCACGTGACACTCTTCACCTCTCCCTACGGACTCAACCCCACCTACTTCAATCTAGGCCCCAACTCTGAAGTACCTACCACAATCCTCACAACTCTGCCCAAGGACACTTCCGCCCCCACGGACCCCAAAGATTTCGCCGGTCCCGCCGGTTTCTTCTCCATCTCCACTCTCCGCAAAGTCATTAACCCCACCACCCTCGAATACGAATACCTCTATAAAATCTTCTCTCCTCAACCACTCTCCTCCGAATTCCTCTCCTCTATCCTCAACAGCGCCGTTCCTGTCCCAGAAGACCTTAACACCATTTTCCCTTCAGCAAATAACACAATAACATGGTACCATCCCCACGTCTGGAACTCTTACCCCTACGAATACCCTCGCGTAACATTCGAAGAGATTCAACTCGCACCAGGTATCTACTACACTAGTGGTATCGAATCCTTCATCAGTACCATGGAAACCAGTGCATTGATGGGTAAGAATGTCGCGAGATTAGTAGTCGACGATTTCTTGAAAAGTACGGAGTCAGAGCCGGAGCCAGTAGTTGAGAAAGTCGAAGCCGAAAATGTAGTTGTTGAGGCAGAGATTGGTGTTGGTGGTGATATACCTGTGGTTGATGAATTGTGATTTTTGTCCTTTCTGGACATGCATAGCGTTTGTTCTTTCCCATTCATTTTGTCATTCCCATGGGAGGGATTACTTTTGTACTACTCAGATCAACATTAGCGAAGCGCAGCGGTATTTGACAACATTTGATATGATACTATCTAACATTACAATGAGATATAAAGTTCCATATTCTTCTAGCGAAGCATCAATCAGACCCATGCGTTCAATTCTGTGTCACAAAAACAAACAGAAAACTCTTTTCAACTCATATCTATCCACGTAAAACTCCATACCTTACAACAATACCAATCTCTACATTTTACTTCCTCTACATAAAAGGGTTCGCCAACGAAGGGGGAGAAAAGACCACCTTAATCTCACAACCTTAGCATACCAAACCCCAAAATCATCCCCATCCCCATCCCACTAATTCATCACATGATCCTACCCCACCTAACCTAACCTCATTCATCCACCAATCAAATCTACGTTTCATCATAAAAATCAGAATTCCCCAACCAAGGCGCACTCCTCTCCCCACCATCATTCCGCTCATCCCGCTTATCACCAACACCACCATCACCACCACCATCACCAACATCACCTCGCGTACTACTCACACGCAAACTATACAACTCCCCATCCGCACCACGATAATACTTGCGCGATTCCACCTTCGCAGATGGAGATGGAGGAGATGTAGGAGAATATCTGCGTTGTTTTTTCCGCGGCGCTTGTGTGCCCGAAAGTGTATGTGGTGCTTGTGATTCTCCTTGTCCTTGTCCTTGTGATGTTGAGCTTGTTTGTGTTTTCCTTTGTGTTCCAGCAAGAGGTTGAATTTGTTCCGATGGTCGTCCAAATCGAGCCACTTGGCTAGAATTGGGACTGAACCGAGGAGAGGGCTGTTTTCTTTGTTGAGAGGCGCTACGCATTCTTTTTATGCCTTGGAGGGGTTTAGGCATGCTGTGTTTTCCTTTGGATGGGGAACTGGTCTTGCTGCTGGAAAATCCGGTGCGTTTGTTTGTTGATGGGGTTTTTACCTCTGTAGTCGTTGTATCTTCATCCGTCGCTTGCTGTTTCATTTTCGTTTCTTCCCTTTCCTCGCCCGATTCGGGTTCTGATTCTTCAGCCAAATCGGGTATTTCGTTTGGATATCTCACCGGCTTTCCATCTTTGCCTACGGCTCTCCCATCCGGAAGTACGATTGCATTTTTGCCTCTCCTAGCTCAAATGGCATTTCCCTATAGCCCATTCGAACAGCCTTCCGAGTCGGAAACAATAGTTCCACATCATCGAAATCATCGTAATCTTCTCTATAAGTCCACCCGGGTGGATTTTTCAAAGGGAGTGCCCGGGGAACTCCCCACCACTGCCATCTTTTCGCTCGCATCCCTGGATGTCGATTCCTGACCCTCTCCTGCGCCGGTTCAGGATATTTCCCCTCCCACCCACCATTGTCCCCATGAATCCCCTCTAGAAATAAATCCGACTCGTCGCCAAAATTCCAATGTTCCAACACTTCCTGCACCATGGTTAATAATTCTTCCAAGTTCCATCGCTCGCGGGGATCAAATGCTAGAGCTCGCAGGAGCATCCCCCTCAACTTGCGACTGTAGATCTCGCGGTCGCGGAGCAGAAGTTGGTGACCCATTGCCTGGAATGCACGGCTAGGATCGGGATCTACTCCCGTCGTGAAACATACATTCGGGAGCACGGTTGCCATAGAATTTATTGCTTGGTAGACAATGTGTGCTATGTTCCACAGGTCGGTTTGAGTGCCTATTTCGCGGTGGGGGTGATTATTATAAAATTGTTCCTAGAAGTTGGTTCAGCGATAGTGGTCAAGATTGGGGATGATTGAACTGAGTTTAAGATGGGTTGTGAAATAATCAAGGGGGTTTTTCTTACTGGTGCATGGAATGTATTGCGGCCTCGGGTTACTCTGATCCACTCTTGCTTTTTGGCAATATTCTTTTCTAACTCGTCGCTGTCGGGAATTTCAAGTGCGAATCCGAAATCGGCAAGCTAAGGTTCAACATGAGTTAGCGCTGATTGCGTCCGTACATCTAACATTCATAATAGCAATGAAAATAGGTACAGCCACGCACTTTATGAGCCCTGATACGTCCATGGCCTGGTTTAGGGTTGTCGCCGATCCTGTAAAGAGGGAAGATTCAGTATTCAATTTTACAATCAGAAGAGATCCATCGATTTATAAGAATCTCTTCTCTATGTCCAACGGGTCGTGCCTCCAAAACCGGAACTTATACAAAAGTTCCAACTTACAGGACTACTTAACATCAGCATTTCGTTACCTACGAGCAAGCTCAAATCCTAGGAATCAACATACCATTATCCCCCTTAAGATCCAAATGCACAATCGGATTATGAAACATCGAACCCTCCCGCACCAACTCATCATCCCACTCCTCAGTCCCATGCTTCAAAACCATCAAACCCCTCAACAAACATTCCCACAATCTAAACACATATTCTTCCGAAGGTTGATTCTCATCACAGTTAAGTACCATCCAATCGTGTAAATCCCCCTGAGATGCACATTCGATATATATTCTTCCAATATCATGCAGATGCGGTTGTCGGAGTTGCGTCTCGATGTATCGCTCAAGACCGTATTCGGTTCTGTGCGTTCGGGGATTGTAATTCACTATGTAGTCGTCCATAGTTGGACTTGTTCCCTATGTGTATATAACTGTATTAGTAGAATATACTTTCAGAAACCTCTCAATTGCAAACTGCCCTTTTGAGCAGAACAGTAATAAGAAGTACTTTCAGAAATATCTCAATAGCAAACAGCCCTTTAATTATGAGCAGAACAGTAACATTACAAGAAAAAACCAAAAGCTCAGCTCACCGTACCCATCGTCCGATGATAAGCCCTATAAATCTTAATAACATGTTCACTCCCAAACTTCATAAGTTTCTGCGACATCCTACTTTCCTGTTTCAAATTCCATCCTTTCCCCCCTTCCTGCTTAACTACGATTTTCTGCGGCGATACATCCGGATTATCTCCTCGGTATTCAAATAGTGTAGCGATACCGTATACACCACCACCTAGGTGTTTAGTGCCTACCCAATCCTTACCAATGTGGACTGGTGCCCAGCCTTTGGATGCCTCGAGGTATCTTTTCTTGGGATCTATGTCTGCCATCTTTTATTGGGAGATTACTAATTTATGTGTATATTTGGAAATGGTACGGTAGGAGAGTTATAGAATCGTCGGTGCAAGACTTCTTGCTTGGGCTTGAAATTCTTCATACTTTGGTTGGGTATGGAGAGGTTCGTTAAACGAATGCTTTGTTCATGGCATGTCCTTTGGGCGGACAAAGAGCGGCATTCATGTCCGGTAGATGCGTTGGGCATTTTTTGATCATTGCGACAAAGAACATTGTGCACTTAAAGTAAATTGCAATGGAAGAAGAGACTCTTTGCAGATTGTAGATAATTCTGACTTTTTAGCTATATAATGAGTATCACAACGGTACTCTAGCCTACCCTCCATCTAAGAGTAGTATTCTGTTGTATGTAAAATGCAAGCCTGATTTCTGCCTCACGGCCATTGATCCGAACCCATCCCACTCTAGACCTGGCCCGGGCTGGCATGGCACCAGCAAAATATGAGCAAAGAAGATAGTAAAAACTCCAACCTCCAGCAGCAGAGCAGCAGATGTCCAACTCTAATAATAAAAAGGGTAATATCCAGATGTTCCCTACTGTAATCACAATCATAAAATCCATAAACAAGAAAAAAAAATGTGTCGCTGAAAAGCATCGCAACAGTGTGCAAATACTCGAGTAATGCGTCCACTTAATAAAAGAATCGAACCACGCCTTCACCCACGATCGTTACAAATTATGATCTTACGCTTCCATCCCAATTCAACTCTCTCACACTAACCTTCGTCCCTTCCCTCTCACTATTTTTCCCCCTTACACTTCCTCGCCTCCAATCCATCAAACTCGATCTCTTTGATCTTGCTGACGCCATTGTCTTTCCAGTCGTATCTTTGATAAGCTTGTTTTCCTTCATCGAGGATGAATTACTTCCACTGTCTCCATCGCCTGCTGTGCAATGTGCAGTATATGTATTGCTCGCGGAGTAGTATTCGCCATCTACGTATACTGCATCAGAAACAAATGTGCTGCGACGGTTTCGACTGTTGATGTATCGCTTTTCAAGTCTGTAGAGCTCCAATTTTTGATTGATCATGTCGATAAACTTCACCATGATTGCTGTGTTGCGGATTGTGGGGTGTGGAGTATGGAGTAATTGAGTGAGAATGATATCGCGAGAGGATTTGGCCGTCAGACGAGATGAAGGAGAAGAGAAGCGAGGAATGAATCGATTGGTGGTTTTTTGTGAATAATGGCTATTACTGATAGAGATCGATAGAGGAAATTCGAAAGAACGTTTTATGGCTGCAAATGTCTTTTTTTTGGTAGTGTCTGCGAAACGAATGCAAGAATGGATAGTCTTAGCTGTTGAGATCGAATATGAATATGTCGTGAGAATTCCGTTGATATAGGTGAGTAGATTTGACAAAGAAGCACAATAATAGGTATGTATAGTAATTCGTACAATCCCAAGTCTGAGTAGGTATATTTAGATCTCTGTCTGTACTTTTTCTGTACGTCGAGTCAAATCTCAAGATAATAGATATTAGATGAGCAGTCTTTCACTTCACTATGGTGTGTTGAGCAAGAAGAAAGAAAAGAATACCTTTTGGTTTCTTGGCGATAAGCCATACAGGATGCTCTAGTCTCTACGAGTAAATGTGCCCCGTAGCTCTTCGGCCACAGAATTTCATATCACTCACTGCGTACGGGAGCACATACTTCTCGACTGTGCTTGCATTTCTGCACTTTGCTCAATGCTCATCCCCTCGAATTTGGATGCTGCTCCATTCAAAGCACCAGAATCATCTGAAAAATCCACCAGAATGAGTGAAATAAGCCCATATTGCAAGGATTCTACATAAATTATCACTTTATCCATGACAGTCTAAAACAAATCGAGCTGCACTAATCCGTGGAAAAGCGGATTCTTCCTCATGGCGAGTGGCCCGGAACGGTCCAACCGTATGAATGGAAAAGTGGATTTGGGTCCAAAATCCAATAGAATCTAATTATCATCGGAGGCTTTAACTATTTTAGGACAAGCTCAAGGGTACAATCCCCCGTTGGCACGTTTTCTACATTAATCAGTACGGAGTACATACGGAGTAGTATGAACTGTGAATTTCAAGCAGCCCCGGATATGTTTCCTCGGGAAGAACTGAAGTCTGAAGCAGAGGAGCATGGAAGACGCAATCTGGACCCATCTCTACGAAAGTAAATGATCAAAGCGCTATCAAATCAAATTTCCTTTCGGGAAAAGGTTTAACTAATCATACTACCTAGGAGGTATCTAAAGTACGTACTAATAAAATGGCTCTCGTCCTCAGTTCCCCAGCCGACTTCTTTACTCGTTAGCCTCTTTTCCTTGGGTTAGAAATCAGAACCCGTCTTCCCGAGTGATCCTCAAGTGGATGCTTGTATATCATTTTATGCTATCCAGGCCCCAGACGTTTGGTTTGTACAAATCATTTCATGAATGTTTTATTTGAACCGTGAAACAAGTAATCAGATTACTTTTAAGCCGGACAATGGGCTACGCGTTCAATTGAGAGGTTTGGTGCTTGATAGAGTTGAGGTTACAAAATCATGCGCTGTTACGGGCTTTGAACCGAACGAGGAGTCTAGTCCCACTTCTGCGCGGGCTCAATGTAAAACGAGTTTCCCTGCAGCATCTGGCTCATTCGAAGTACCAACTCTTATCGATCAGATTTATCTACTCTCTTCCTTGGGGATGTCGGGAACATTGATTTCCCGTTCTTTGCCTTGCTGCGTTTCGGAAAAAAGAGTTTCCTGTGCTACAATGGAGGTGAGACGTAATACACAATAATAGGAATGAAAAAAGATGCTTACCACTCCAGAGGTCCGAATATACCCCACCAGTGTCAATTAATTCCCTATGCGTACCACTTTCAGCCACCGACCCCTCCTTGAGTACTATAATTTTATCGCTATCAAATATTGTTCGGAGCCTATGAGCAACGAAAACACTAGTCCTTGATTTTTCTTTCAATATGCTGTTGATGTTTTGCATGAGTGCCTGTTCCGTATGTGTATCCAACGCAGATGTCGCTTCGTCAAAGAATAACAGGGGAGGATCTTTCAAAATAAGCCTTGATACTGCTAATCTTTGCTTTTCTCCTCCAGAAATCATCATTCCTCGCTCGCCAACCATGGTGTTATACCCATCGGGAAAGGAGGTGATGATGCTGTGTATCTTCGCACGTTGTGCTGCCTCCTTGACCTTTTCGTCAGATGCCTCCAAATTACCATATCTGATGTTGTGTTGAATCGAATCATTGAAAAGTGGGGTGTCTTGAGGAACGACACCAATGGATTTCCTCAAAGAATCCAACCTCACGTTGCGGATATCTTGGCCATCGATGAGGATCCTTCCCTCCTGGGCGTCATAGAAACGAAACAGGAGTCGCAGGACTGTCGATTTCCCACAGCCACTAGGTCCAACAATGGCAATTTTCTTGCCGGCGGGTATAGTCATGCTGAGATTCTTCAAGATTGGACGATCCGGATGATAACCAAACGTTACATTCTCAAATGTGATCTCACCGCCTTTAGTGAGCTGCAAGGGCTTCGCGTTCGGAGGTTCCGTGATAGCCACATTAACCTTTTGCAGGTTGAAAAGTGTCTCCATATCCAATAAGGATTGTCGAAGTTCTCGGTAGACTGACCCCAGAAAATTCAACGGAACCGACAGCTGAAAGACCAATTGGTTGACCATAACAAGATCACCAACGGTTAGGTTTCCTGTGGCTACGCCGTCTGCAGCTAGGTACATCATGGCAGTTAATGCACTAGAGAAGATCAAGTTTTGTCCACTGTTGAGGAATGCCAAAGATGTTGCGACCTTGATTGATGATTTCTCGTAAGCCTTGAGTGCCTGGTCATACCTACCAACCTCGTACTTCTCATTGTTGAAGTATTTGACAGCCTCATAGTTGATCAGAGAGTCTACCGCAACCGTTGATCCTTTATTGTCTGCAGCATTGGCTGCCCTTCGGAATTTTGTTCTCCAAGCAGTGGTCGAAATGGTAAATGCTGTATAGGCCACCATGGTGAGAGCCGTGATAGCGGCGAATTTGGCGCCATATTGGTAGGTCAAGATACCACATACCATGGATATCTCTAATACTGTTGGGAAGACATGAAAAACCATAGACGTGAGCAAGAAACTTATTCCTTTTGTACCCCGATCGATAGCTCTAGTAAGGCCGCCCGTTTGTTTTGAGAGATGAAAATTGAGGTCAAGTCTCAATAGATGATCAAAAACATTGCAAGCCACTTTTCTTATGGCCTTTTGTGCAACGCTGGCGAAGACTGCATTCCGGACTTCTTGGAATAGAGTAGCCCCAACTCTAGTAAGGCCATAAGCCAATATCATCGACCCAGCGACGGTTGTAGCTGTGCCTCCAAGGGCAGCAAAATCGACATTCATAGCATCGACAATGCTTTTGAAGTAAAAAGGTACTTGCACATTCAATACTTTGGCGCCAACTAGCAAACCCAGAGATAATCCAACCCGAAGTCTCGTTCCCATGTTGTCTTTAGGCCACAAATACTGTGACATCTCTTTTATGATCGCCCAATCTGCCTTCCTCTGCTCCTTGTTTGTTTTGTCATCGAGGGCCAACGGATCCTTTCTTGTCGTTGCCGGTATGGTAAGAGAGGCATTTTTCACCGTTTCAGGCCGCGTGCCAGGTAATTCATCCGCTGCTCTGGGGTTTCCCAAGGATTGACTCTGGAGTGATTTGCCTTTTGGGATATCTCTCAACCGTCGATTGGTGCTTGTGAAGACCCGGAGGCCTATCCCACGTTGCGCCCATAGTGGATGTCGCAATGAGGCTTTTGCATATATGGAAGAAGCTCCATGGAAGCTATGTAAGCTTCGAAAGCTCATCGTAAGACTGATTCCTTTCCACTGGTCATCGATTGCGCGTGCCTCAGATATTCCAAAAAGACCCCCATGTATAAAGTTGTAGCTATCGATAAGGAATTAACAAACACAAAGAATTGAAACTTGTTTAATATGAAATAAAGCTAGATTAATATTCGAAAGTATCCCAATCGTAGAATTTTTTCCTCAATTTTAGTCAAAAATCAGAAAATGTAGACCAGAATTCAGCAATTTATCTAGTAGTACATGGTGAGTGAGCACAACAATATATGAAGCTATTACGACATTTCATGTTGAAGCCTCGCCTAAGTGTAACAAGGCAGAAAATTGCACATGCAAGCTACACCTGAGACCTGCAGCTTTCCGAACGACAACGGAAGCTCCCGCTCTTTTTTCTTTTGAACCTCAAAGAAAAATCAGAACATGATGATTTCACGATCATCTGTAGGCCGTGTCGCTCGCGGTGCGCGACAGCTTCGTTCAATCAAAGATACGCCGGCTGCATGTAGAGGTATACAAATCAGCGCATCGGAATCCCCCTTGCATGGCGATATTTTAAGCAAGACTCTTGATTCTACAGATCCTGCTGGTACGTTTTGGTTGAGCCTCCCTGGGATAATGGCATTGAATACTAAAACACGTTTCGCAGATGCAAGATTTGAAGTCATTGGAGCGCCTTACTCTCTCCTCTCAGTCTCATTGTCCGCATCGCAAACACTATACACCCGACGAGGAACGTTAGTTGGAGTGAGCGGAAAAGCAGAAAATGTCAGCATGCTCGAGGTGAAAGCATAGGATAGGAAGGATGGCTTGCTGATATATTGGGTAGGCCCAATCAACATTATCGATCCTTGAACCTTTTCGACGAGTCCCTCTTGGGATTCCTTTTCTATACCAAAAAGTCTCCTCGACAAGTCCTATAAAAGCTTTGATATCAACGAAGAATCCGATTACGTCTATGGAGGTACTACATCTGGATGGAAGGGAAGATTGGATAGTTGCTCAGAGGAGTGCATTGCTGGCTTGGACCGGTCATAGATTATCTGTTTCGCCGACAATGAACAGAAGTATGAGTATTGCTCATTGGGGAAATACCCAAGTTACGGGTAGAGGGCTTGTAGCTTTGGCTGGGGCAGGGCGCATCTATGAAATCACCCTGAAAGAAGGAGAGGAATTTGTCGCACATCCCGGAAACGTCGTTGCATACACAATGAACCAACATAAACCTCTCCCTTACCGTCTGAAATCCTCGATCCTACGATTCCAGGTTCCAAGCTTAGGATTCAGTAAGCTTTTGCCAGATATTAAGTTTTTCAGGGTCATGCAACAGACAGATTCATGGAAATTTGTCAAGAGGATAGCTTTCACGCTGAGGACGGCGATGAGGAGGACTATTTGGGGGGATAGGCTATTCTTACAATTCAGAGGGCCAACCACACTCCTAATGTCTACAAGAGCAATAAGGGTTAGCGACGTTTTGACGAATAGAGATATTAACGAGATTGCGGATGCTCCACCGGGAGCCGTAACGGAAGCTATTGAGTTGGCGAAGGAACCCAAAGCGGTCCCAAAAGATACGAAGCAAATCAAGGATGTACCGACCGGATTCCATTTTGCGGAGGTTAATAAAGATGGGAAAGTGAAGTTTGAGGATCCTCCTGTCAGGTCGTAAGGAGAGCGGGAGGTGTCAGTAGAGGGAAGAAATAGAAAATGTACGAGTAGGTCCTGATTTTGGACGGGCAAGGGGAATAAAATTTACGGAAATGATACCTCAACAAAATTGTGCCATTGCTCATCTCTGCTCTGTCTGCTCTGGGAATGAATAGCCTGCTTCTTGTGTAAGCCACGCTGAAGTCAGCTTTCTATACGTCCATTTGAAAATTGCCACAAACAAAGGATTGTCGCCATGTTGAACCTGAAATGCTCTGTATATGGTTCCATTTTCTCGATCATGCTTTTTTCTCTGTCGGGTGGTTTTAAGGACATAAATACTGGACAGAAGATAGGTTTTATCCCACCAAAGTAGAAACTACCACATCAAAAGCAAATGTCTGAGGGGTTTGGTTTGTGCAGCTTCGTCCTTGCTATATGAAATGTGAGGTTGAGATAATCATGCATGCTTTTGGTTGTCGCTCTAATACTAGATGTCGTTATCATATATGAAATGTCTAGTGATTGGGTAATAATCATCGCAGTTTGCTTCAATGATGGCGATAAGCAGGTTAAAGGATATTTTGACGGTGTCTTTCTTAGTTATTTAAGGCTGGTCCTGCGGAAATATGCCTACATGACTTTCGTATTATTCTTTGATTGTTGGACCTTGATCTTCTTTTCCATTAAACATCCTTTTATTGGTGGACTACAGCTTCTTGTTCCTTGAATTCTCGGCTGGGTGTTTATTTTTATACTTTGTTGTTGTACGTTGTGGCAGTATAATAGCTTGCTTAGTGATGAGATGCCAGCCTTTATTTCAAACCCTAACTCAATGGGGTTTTGTTTATTTTGTCTTTAACCATTAGTATCATCTATCAGTTCTTCTCGACGGCCATATTCTCGTCTAGTATCATGTAGGCAACTACCCTAAGATATAAAACATCCATTTGTCCATCAAAACGATTAAAACTTGGTGATTGCAATGGAAACATCAAATGAATGACCCCATCACTTCGATTGTTATGTAATTCAAGCAAATGCAAGGTTCAAATACCTCAGCCAAGAGACAAATGGGTTGGTGTCCATATTATATTACTGCTACTATTGCCGCGTAACTTGTGTTTATTGTTGATTCGCTCTGGTATAGATTAGATGATATATCTCAATCAATAAATAATGACAAATTTCATACAAGTATTGATGTGGTAGTGAAACGGCATGATATATTATCATCGTTCATGGCCATTTATATACGATTCCTTTACTATCTCAAGAATTTCCGCATCTATCTCATCATATACTCACTCTTGTTCATATCATGAAAAATAACCGTTATAATCCGACCTTTGTCAACCTAAGAAATAATATCTAGCCTCAGCTCTACTTCATGCAATTTTAGTTTGATCGCTTATTCCTGTATTTTCATATTTATGTACGTCCGTGAAACGTGATTTACACGTATAAATACACATGGCTAAGTCGTGTGTATTTGATGAGTCGGCTAGGTGCATAAAAGGATAGCCTCGAAGAGCTTTTTCGAGCAGCAAAATTAAGAAAAGCAATCAAAGCTATCAGAGCCATGTAATCGTTGCATATGTGCCTAGCTTGTGCTCAACAAGGAGGCGGAAAACGGCCTAGGGTTTTCAGTTGCGAGTGGCAATAGTACCACTACTGAGGTTGACGGTGATAATGTATAAAGGCAATGAATATAAAAAACGTTAATAGGAAATTACAATAAATTAAAAACATACACAACTTTATAATTATATATAATCCCGCGCCAGAGACTTTTACTTTCTTCTACCCAGTCTGTTACTGAGCTTTGTGGTTTCGGAAAAACCAGGATATATTAGGAAGGATCTTTTATATGGCACTCGAGATTTAGCAACTACTCACAACATCCTCAAATTCCTTTTAATATGTCTTCTTTCTTTCCTATAATTCTTATACTTTTCCTACTTCTCAATACTGAATTGTCTTAGTCTTCTTTTTCAAATCCCTGATAACATTCACTACAAATGCCTACACCGAATTTCCTATCATAAAAGACTCGGGACTCAAGGAGCTATTTTCTTCCAATCCAGATTAAACTCACCAAGTGGAGATAAAGTATGCCTATACAGAATTTGATGATTGTCTAATACAGGAAAAGAAAATTTGGCTAGTTGTTATTTATATCTTCGTTGTTTTAATATCGTCTGATATTCGTTAGAAAATGTTGTTGAAAAATGGCAATTGTTAAAGACCAAAATTCAATAATATAATGGTAAAAGATGGTAGAAATGATCATATTCCCGAAAGTATTAAAAATTTAAAAGCTTTCGGTAAGAGGTGTGGCAATTGGCGCATCTGTGTATTCCTCATAGCCTACAGCTGTCTCCGTACCTTACTTATGAAAAATTCATTGTCTCTTATGGAACTTTGTGTAGTTGTCTAAAAAAGTTTATACTTGCGAAGTTTTGTAGTGAATCATGGTAATCCTCCAACATTCGTGTTGGTACGAGAAGGATACGGAAGACGTAGCACCCACGGATTACGTAGGTCCTGTATGTCTAATTGTATTCTGTCTAAAGAGCTAGCTACATATTGAAAGTAGTAAGTCTTATATAGACTTACTAAAAGAGCTAGTCTCTTTCGCGTTCGCCTAGTTCTTTATTACAGTAGTAATTGAATTGAAGTCATTCACTTCGTTCACACAATTCGGTTACTAATAATTGCTGCGACAACGAAGCATGTGGCGGGAGTAAGCTTTAATTTTACAACTTATTCGTTTCGCCTGTGCTTAGTATTCGGGCCTCGGTACTCTGTAGGAATTATGTAAAGTGGAAGTGAAATGTGAGGTGAGACTGGCAAAAGGCAGCTGCTACAGTTCAACCTTTTCCTAGAAAAGCCAAGCCACTCCTTTAGTGGAAAGCAGGTTACTTGGCTGTATCACCACATGTCACTTCTTATCGTCACTAACTCTTAATTATTCTTTATCTGTAGTTTATTTTAATAAATATAGCAGAGTGAAGATATCAGCTTGAGGATTTGACAGCAAAAAGATTTCAGGAGTTATGATAAAAAGAGCCGAGATGAGAAATTGGAAATGGGAGACCTTAAGCGGAACTTCAACAAATTGAAGATTGCTCTACCGCGTATCCTTTCATCCATGTTTTGGCTTCTTTTTATTGGACTGGACTTCTGAGTTAGTGTTTGATTTATTCTTCTGAGGCATCTTGTTCATATTTTATAGAGGAGATTTTAGCTCTATCCTCATCTTCCATTCCATTTATCCTCTTGCAGCCCAAACTCTATTATTTCCCTCAAAGTCCAATTCTTCCACGCACATCAAACCAACACTCTATCAACCTTCACTTTCATGACTAATGTATAAAGCAAAAATCAGTTCTATCTAGAAAATTCCCTACCTCTCGCTTGAATTCCAATGCACGCCTTAAGCTCAAAACCACTATATCGAAATCACTTAATGCTTTTAATTACTTCCTGAAACCATAATCCACACTATTATATCTGTATTCCTCGGCTTAAAGCTAGTGTCGATTCACCGTTCTTAGTTCTGATAACTTCAGAAGGGAGTTATTGAAAGGAAAATGTAAATATCCCTCAACCTAAACTTTCTAAATCTCCTCAGTTAAAATCTCAACTCCTTTTATATATAAAACCCTCAAGTAACACGTCTGTATACCTATACCCTTAGGGAGGTCTCAGGACGTAAATCAATACTAGTACTGTGATGGCTACTATATACCATGGAAGACGGAAGCAAAACTTTGGGTATAGTGGCATTGGTTGGCTACTATCCATTCCATGTCGATACGTCTGGGATTTTGGCTGGTATGTTGAGATGATTTGTAATATAAAGAGATGAGATGATACCTTATATCTCATCATATCATAACATCTCATCTTACACTTTCGCCTAACTCTATATCATCCCAACAATGATTCTTCCCCTCCAATCATCAACAACCATTTCTTTTTTAAAAAATTCTCGGTAGCCAAAAGACAAAATCTTCAGAATCGATCGCTCATACCAAACTCCCCATGCTCGCCACAGTGTTTACAATTTGTCTGTAAGCTGCTAGTTTCAGACTCTGAAAATGGGTGTTTTTATAAGAAAGGAGGAGGTTGTAGGACGTTTAGGAAAAGATGATGGGAAGACGTAAGAGACGATTTGAAGATGAGATGAAAAGGTGGAAGTGAATGAATGAAGATCACAGGAATAGTTGATATAAAACAAGGAATCATATATTAATTCCACGATTTCACATCACCACCCCTCCCTTCCTCTTAGCCACCTAGTGAATCAAACTCTAGATTCACTGTCCCCTCTACACTCCTCCCTC